GGAAAATAATACGGTTTGATCACTATATCAATTCAATTAAATAATAGGTAAAGTTTAATAAAAAAACATGTTTTTTGAAAGTCTAATTCCATTTTTCAAACGATTACGTAAAGTGAAATTGAAGATATTGATCTCCATATATAAATTCTATGAATAATTAAGATCTCAAATTATGTAATACACAAAGACTAACCTTTTCAATTCCAAATTAAGCGTAACAAAATTATCCAATTAAGATTACATTGTGTAATGAAATTGAAACATGGAGCAAATTAGCAGGAATATGTATGATTTATCAATTCACTAAGTTTAAATTTACTGTTGACATACAAAGTGCGTTGTTAAATTATGATTAAAAACGGGACATCAGTATTCTCTAATTCTAAAGCTTGTTGGTTTCTTTCTTTTGAATATATGGAAAAAAGGTCGTTGTATAAAATATGGTCATGATTTCAGCCTTGCAACTATTCCAATCTACTCAATCATTTGTACGGGTTACACGAATGACTAAGCCGATGTCAGGACAATGACAGGACCAAATGAAAATGCTAATTACTCTTTTATTTCTCAAAGGAATTATCTCAAATTTGAAATAAAATAACATTTCATCATTTAAAACACAAATATAAGAAAAAAAACACGTATAAAATATTAAGAGCTTGAGAAAACGTGACCTGTCCAACGTTAACAATGACCTGACCGACAGGACCAAATGAAAATGATAAAACGTTTTTATTTCTCAAAGGAATTATCTCAAATTTGAAATGAATTAACTTTCATCATTTGAGAAAAACAAAACAAACAAAAAACCAAAAAACACGTAAAAATATTAAAAGCTTGCGAAAACGTGACCTGACCAAAGTTGACAATGACCTGACCGACATCGACAATGACAGGACCAAATGAAAATGCTGAAAATTTTATTTCTCAAAGGATTTATCTCAAATTTGAAATTAATAAGATTTCATCATTTAATACATAAATATAGGAAGAAGAAAAAATAAAAAAAAATAAAAATTCAAAGCTTGCGAAAACGTGACCTGACCAACGTTGACAATGACCTGACTATTATCGAATAACCTGACCGATGAAAAGTAATAACTTGTTAAATTTTTATCCATTATCAATAAGATATTACTAAAAAAATCGGGAAAAATATATTTATGGGTAAGTGTAGGACAGAAAGTCACAGAACGAAATGTTACAGACAAAAAGTCACGGACAAAAAGTCATAGGACAAAAAGTCACAATTCAGTTGGGCGATCTTATTTTCAAAAAAACAGTTTTGTATTTTTCGTGAACTATGTTATATAAAGCAACTTTGTAATTAAAGTTAATTTAATAAATTTCAATAATGATCATATAATTGTTAAGTAAACAAAATGCTAAAGTGGGTTGGTACTTAAATGGCTGCATTGTGCCAAGAAATATATACTTTGCAAGATTAAAGATCGCTAAAATTTAATAATGTTTCATTTATCAAGGCTAATGAACAATTTTATTTAACTGTAAAATGAATATACGAAACAAAAAGAATATTTATAGAATAACTAATCGAAGAATTCAAATAGAGAAAAATATTCAACGAGTGACCGAACAACACATTAATTCACGAATGCGCGTAGCGCATGAGTTAATTATCAGTGTTGTTCGGTTACGAGTTGAATATTTTTCGATATTTGAATTCTTTGATTAGTTATTCTTTTTATTACATTGGCAAATGGCTTTTTTAATGAAATAATGTAGAAAATGTAAGGAACTATATCTTTTTTCTACGCATTCACAATTTGTTTTGATCCGACATTATCGACGTCTTGACAACGCCTATTGTTGTATGACGTCAGAGAGTGAAATAACCACGTTTATTTCACATGTGAAATTATCGGTTTTTATTTGACTGGGAAATCAATGTAATTCATTGCTACCAATGTAATAAGTTTCAATATCTTCCTTTAAATATTCAAACAATTGTCAACAAATTATTTGTGACTCTTTGTCCTGTTTTTTTTTGTCCTATCAAATTTTTGACTCTCTGTTCACTGACTTTTTGTCCTGTGACTTTCTGCCCGTTTACCTAAATATTTAACCTGACCAACGTTAACTGTTTCCTGGCCGTTATCGTGACCAGGAACAATGACTTTACATAAAAAAGAAGATGTGGTATGATTGCCAATGAAACAACTCTTCACAAAAGACCAAATGACACAAAAACTAACAACTATAGGTCATCGTACGGCCTTCAACAACGAGCAAAGCCCATACCGCATAGTCAGCTATAAAAGGTCCCGAAATGACAATTGTAAAACAATTCAAACGAGAAAACTAACGGCCTAATTTATGTACAAAAAATGAACGAAAAACAAATATGTACATGTAACACAGCAACAAACAAAAACCACTGAATTACAGGCTCCTGACTTGGGACAGGCACATACAAACAGAATGTGGCGGGGTAAAACATGTTGGCGGGATCCCAACCCTCCCACTAACCTGGGACAGTGGTGTAACAGTACAACATAAGAACGAACTATAAAAATCAGTTGAACAAGGCTTAACTCATCAGATTTTTATAGTAAAATCATATTAATTATGGATCAAATTTTAACAATTTGATTTATTTTAAAAAATTAAATAAGAAAGAAATAAGGACTTTTCATCGGCCAGGTCATTGTCGATGTTGGTTAGGTCATTGTCAACGTAGATCAAGTCACGTTTTTGCAAGCTTTGAATATATTTTTTTTATATTTATGTATTAAATGATGAAATCTTATAATATTTCAAATTTGAGATAAATCCTTTGAAAAATAAAAAAAAAGTTATTAGCATTTTCATTTGGTCCTGTCATTGTCGATGTTGGCAAAGTATTAAAAAAAAACCTGTATTTACGTGTCCTTCCTCTTTTGTGATGATTGTGTAATGTAATCAGTCAGTAAGCCTTGCCCCTCATTGCAAATAAATTAATTTTTTTGAACAGTTATATAAACATCTGTTGCTGATGCAGGAGAAGAAACGTATTCAAATTCTGGTAAGCAATTAGCCAGACAATGGGACTGATTTTAAGGTTTCAGATTCACTTATCAACGTAACTTCTGCACTTATTAATATATGAATTGTTGTAATTCAACTGGACGAAACGAAATTTTTTTTTACGAATTGGGTTGTAAATTACCTGGACAGAGGCATATTTCGTTTACGAGCTAAATATCAAAGCGGTCGTTAATGCTTTTACGAAAACCGAACTTTTATTTACAACGCAGAAATCACCTGCACGGGTAAAAAGTATAAGTGTCCAGCGACTCATTTCACAAAAAAATCTTACTAGTAAAATCACTCATAAGTCATTGATATTTCAGTATAACTTTAGTCTTAAGATTTTCTGTAAAGAGTGTTCCATGCTCTTAGCCAGAATGTCTTGTGGATGGAGGGGGTGATTGTAGTCATCAAACTCGGACTTTAAGAGTCAAATTTCAAATAAAATCTCGTCTTCAATAGCTGTTACTACTTCTTTACTTTCACAGGGGATAGTTGAACCGAATAAATAGAAAATCATACTGCCTTCAGGTTTCGTATCTCCCATGTCTTGAAATTAGGGTTTACTCTCACTGGCACGCCTCGGCAAAGTCTACTGACCGTTGTGATGTTTTTTCGTTGTACGAATAATAATGAGAATTTGTAACCTTTAATATTTTATTCATTTATGTAATATAAAGTTGCACTTATGCCACGAAATGTCAAAACAATGGAACTGCATGATTTCGTAAAATATGTATTTACCATTACTTAGTCATGTTTATACTGGCTTAGATCTAAAATAAAAACCAATTATCTTACATTTGCTTCCAATGAACAGAAGCAATTCAAGAACAGGTTAATTAATAACATTACTAAAGTCGTTTATGCCGGAAAGCTACAAAATTTCCCATGCTGTACATACAATGTGGTAGACTGTATCTGATAGTTTTTGAGCGTATCATCAATGGGAAAATTGACTTATTTTTTAAATCTACCTATTTTATATTAAAAATAAGGTGATATTTGGCTGATAATCAGAGAAAGGCAATATACTGCTTATGGCACAAACAATTTACTGTATCACTGTGCCCGAAAACAAAGACTGTTGTATAGTTGTTGGTCGGTCATTTTGGAGGGAATTGATTTTCAATTACACAAAATTGAGAATGTACACGGGGAATGTGTCAGAGAGACAACAACCCTTTAAAAGAGGAGAAAACAGCCCAAGGCCGCCAATGGGTCTTCAACACGACGAGAAAATCTAGCACCCGGAGGCGGGCTTCAGTGGCCCCAATACAAAAATGTTTACTAGCTCAGCGAAAATGGACGTCACACTAAATTCCTTAAGATGTTAATGAACCAAAATTTAAAAACATACAAGACTAACAAAGGCCTTTCAAAATTGTAATCGAGGAAAGTTGTATCGAATTAGAATTATTTTCATTATGAAATCAAGCAAAACCATACGTTTATTCTTTTTTGAAACAACTTAAGAATAAAAAGCAATGAACATTAAAACATGTGCACTCTATTTTACAATAATAGGTTATCAATCGGTCAACAAAATGGCGTTTACACGATGCCAAAAATAGCAAATGCTTTTGATAGTAGTAATAATTATAATAAATAAATAAAAAAATACACCGATAACAAAAATAAATAAACAATTGATAATATATATAATGATCAAAATAATAATAACATTAATGCTAATATTAATAGAAAATGATAAAGGTTTGCCGTTATAACTTTGCATTTTTATCTAACATTAAAGCTAGACCAAATGTCAAACGTAAATTAGAAATAAGAAGATGTGGTATGAGTGCCAATGAGACAACTCTCCATCCAAGTCACAATGTGAAAAAAGTAAACAATTATAGATCAAAGTACGGCTTTCAACACGGAGCCTTGGCTCACACCGAGCAGCAAGCTATATGTATAAATTATAGTTCAGATTTATTACGGCCAAAGAATTTCGGTTTACTTACCATATCCCAATTCGTCATATTAGAGAACATATACTCTGAATCCAAGATTAAATGGTCATCTTCAGCAGTAAGAGCCAGCAACTGACATTTAAGTAATTCTGGTAAATAGTTCACAGCGTTACAGTCTTTGTAGCGGTGACAATGACGTAAACACATTTTAGCCCCCATATTACTGAGAATTTGAATGATATGTCCATTCATTCTCTTTTTTATATGGAACGTTCCCCCAGAAATAAGTTCTGATGTACATTGTAGAATTTGGAAACCAAGCAATATAAGCCAATCAAATGTACTTATGTTTATCACTTTTTTAAACATTATTTTAGCTTATGTATAAACACGTAGCAATTTAAATCAGTACGGTAACCATAATCGGAATTCTTGATACTAATGTCGCATATTACTGGAATAACATTCATAAATTATCAAATAGATTTGCATGGTATCTTTTAAAATCATATTATAAAAAAGAAACGCATGACAAATTTCTATAATGGATCAAAATGAATAAGTAATACATTATACGTAAAATTTTATTAATTTTTCCTTTTAAAAGTAAGATCTAGACCAAAATATGGGAAATTTGCAAATTAATTTGCGTTAAGTCTTACTAAGTGATTAAGTTTAAATTTGAATGCATTTGACGACTGTTGTCAATTATAAAACTAGTCAACAATAGCGAATTTCATAACACGTTACAAAAATTGATTTTAAAACAGTCTTATTATCAATTGGTCCATTGAACAGCAAATCTGAGGAATTACCTTGTTTGTATTGGTTACCTAAGCTTAACAAAATTCCGTGCAAACAACGGTACATTGCCGGCTCATTTGTATGTTGTACAAAGGAATTTTCCATTAGAAAGACAAAACTCTGAAAGAAGATCTTCAGAAAAAACGTGAAACTGTTTACTCGCGCAGTGGTATTAACCATATGTGGATTCTAAAAAATTCGAAAAAAACTGCTTGATAATTCTAAATCTCTATCTTTCTCTGAAATTAATACTATAAAAACCTTTGATTTTTCAACCATTCATACCACCATTCCCGGTGTGATACTGAAAAATCGTCCAAAAGAAACGGTAGCATACGCATAAATTTATTGCTTTCGGATACCATACGGCATATTTTGTTAATAGTAAACAAAAAGATAACACATGCTTCACCTAAGAGCAAGTGATCAGTATGCTGGAGTTTCTTATTGACAACATATTTGTTGAATTTGGAGGTAGACTATTTCAACAAATTGTAGGGATTCATATGGCAACGAACTGTGCGCCTCTTCTTGCCGACCTCTTCTTATTTTCATATGAGTCGGAGTTCCTTTAGACACTTGTCAAAACAAGAAGATCAAAGAAGCCAGATCATTGAATTGCACATTCATATATATTGACGATGTTCCTTCCATTAACAATCCAAACAATTCTCACTGGGTTTAATTAATATATACTCCTGACGGAACTAGACATTAAAGAGACAACAGACACGGCTCCCTCCGCCTAATTTTTAGACTTATACCTCGAATTTGGCATAAGCGGTCATTTCAATACCTTAAACCATTGTCAGCCTATTCATTTACCGTGGATTCTTTTTCTACAATCAACGCGTCTTTTCTACACTTATGTACCTTTACACCTAAGACTATTCTATAGTTTAATATATAAACAAATAATTAAACTACAAACTTAAGTTTGTTGACTATCTCGCTGCTTATATCTTTTCTGACCTGCCGCTTTTATTACAATATACAGCAATAACAACATAACATATATACAAATTACTATTTGCTTATCTTGTCTCAAAATATCAATATCCAAACCACACAAAATACTGTTTCGTGGCCGATCAGGAAAAACCAAATTTTGAAACCTGCGTCCTTGTCAATGTCAAGCGAAACTTAAGTGTAGGAACTCACTTAAAAAATGTGCATGTACAAGAATTAATCAATCTTACTAACAATTTGAACACAGAGAGTTTAAGTCCTAAGACTACGACTATAAAACAAAAATTTGAAGACACAAATTATATAATTCAAATCCGGTTACGGTTATATAACCATACCTTTTATACAAAATATGTATATAAAAAAAACATAAAAAAATTGCCAAATTAAACATTCTTTATGCTGATGAAAGATTTGATGTAAACAAGGCTAGAAGTAATGCTCGTATAACTACATGTACCTATTTACCACTATAATTTTTGGCGCCACAAATTCATACACCTCGGAAATACCTTACCGAGAAGACAACAAATTCCAGTTTTACTGCGTGCCGCGGGACTTTTCTATTCCTAAATCTTTCGCTTAAATGAACTCACCAAATTATATTCACTTGTTTCCTTTGTGTGCCTTATTTTAATAAGTTTGAATTGGCCAATTTACTGATTTCTGTCCACTAATGTAATTAATTTAAAAACTTACCTATAACTTTTGTAATTTTTATATGCCTTCACTGGGAATCGAACCCCTCCTTGAAATCTGTTATGTGGGACTGACATCAACACATCGACGAAACCACTCGGCTACCAATAGGTTGCAATTTGAATGTCTAGTTTATATATATAAATGAACATATGATACGCATCTTTACAACGGACACACAGGGCTTACACCTTTATGTATACATAATAGACAATCGTATAGAATAAGTTGGTAGCCGCGAGGTTATCATGGTTAATATCAATGAATTAAAGAGTCAAGTTAAAGGTAGAGATTTGTTGGTTTATGTTCGAATCCCTGTATTCCCTTTGTTGTCCATATTCTTTAGGTTTTTTTTTCGTTTTTCTTATTTTGTATGTAACTGTGGATATTTTTGTAATAATAGCGGGGTTTCCCGTTTATTTATTGATTACTATTGGCTATTTCACAAAATTGAAAAGAAAATGATTACATTCAATTTGTCCATTTTTTGTTTTATAAATATAATATGCTTTCATCTGTTTTACTACATATCTTAACAAATGTTTATTCGCAAATCCCTAGCGTGTAAATCTTGATGTGTCTAGAATTAGGCTTCTTGATAGAATTTTCGGTAGCATACTTATTATATGTACTTAGAAATAAGTTCGAATATGTCTTATTTTGCGAATTACGGATGATATTCAGATGACTGATAATTTAAAAACAGACGTGTTATGTTATATTTGTATTTCTCTAACCAATTAATTGTGAACTTAGATTTATTAATGCATCGTTGAACTTGATAATTTAAACTCACTTACAATACCTTCTAATTAAGAAAAGGCTTAAATTTTGAGAAGACATCAACACATACAATGATAAAGGTCGATTCATGAAAAAGAAAACATTTGCCCTCCGGGCTCATGGTTTCTTTTTCAAGAATCAACGCTTATTCATTGTATCTATAATACAGAATCTATGACAAACGTGATAATTTTAATTTTGAAATTGTGAATTTCCCCAACCTTAGCAGCAATACACCAACTTTACCTGCATATCGGATATACATTTCCAAACTCATTCGGTATGCAAAAGCTTGCAGCTGCTACTCAGACTTTAAACAACGTCACCAGTGTCTGAGCAAAAAAGTGATAAACAGGGTAATGTCAAAGAACATCTCGTCCTTTTTTCTAAAAAAAGTTCATCGGAAGATACCAAGACCTTCTCGATAAATATTCCGTATCAACTTTACAAAAATATATCATGGTCTTGAAGTATAGATTCTAGGTATTGACGTTGTGTATTCTTAATTACGTGTTTATGTGTTCTTTTTATTTGTCTTTGTATATTTTTAACATTCACTGTTTAGTCCATTTTTTGTAATACCCTTTTGGCGTGGCTCGGTATTTATACATCCCGCCATTGTGTTATTGTGCTTGGTCATTTTTTGTATTCTTATCTTTCATTTTTGCTATGTGCTTTGTCTATTGAGTGTCAATATGCCATTTTGGTTTTCTTTGTTGATATATTTGTTTGTTTTATAGTGATTATGAGATTATAAAACAATGTTGACTGCTGTATCCCAATCTTTGGCATTTTCACCATAATGTCTGTTTGTTTTGCTCACACGTTGTTGTCAATATAATGGAATTCTATGCGACTTTCATACAAGTAAGATATTCAGCTAGCTGTAAAACCAGGTTTAATCCGTTATGTTCTAAATAAGGAAAAAGTAAAACAACAAAAAAACCGAAATCCAAAGAAAATTCAAAATGGAAAGTCTCTTATCAAATGGAAAAATCAAAAGCTCAAACACATCAAACGAATGGAAAACAACTGTCATATTCCTGACTTGGTACAGGCATTTCCTTATGTAGAAAATGGTGGATAAAACCTGGTTTTATAGCTAGCTAAACTCTCACTTGTTATATTGACAACAATGTGTGAACAAAACAAACAGACATAATAGGATAAAATGTCCAAAAAAGGGGGGCAGCAGTCATCATTGTGTTATAATCTTAATCACTACGAAATGCCTGTACCAAGTCAGGAATATGACAGTTGTTTTCCATTCGTTTGATGTGTTTGAGCTTTTGATTTTGCCATTTGATAAAGAACTTTCCGTTTTGAATTTTCCTTGGAGTTCGATATTTTTTTTTGCTATTTTAATTTTTTCCAAACCACTGCTGGTGGACTATCAGTTTCCGTAGGTATCATCAGCTCAGTAGTCAGTACTGCAGTATTGACATGATTTATAACAAACCTTTTATATATTTCTTTTCGTTTGACTATAGGGATTTTCCTGTATTAAATATAGTTATATATATTTAAACTGGTTAGAGTAGTTGTAAAACGGGTTATTGTTATTTTGGATTTAGATATATTGGTTATATATGCACGTGAAATCCTTTTGCGGTTCAAAGGGTGGGGTTCCGTTATTTTATATAAATAAATTGTTGATTTGTCAGTTCATCGAAGGAGCTCACAGTAACTATAACGTACAGTTTACCGTTTATTATCTTTGTACATAATGTCCAACGCAGATCAAGACCACGGTGTTAGGGCAGGGGAAGAAACTGATGGCGCTGAATACGATGTTTTACAGATCTTTTGAACAACAAAATAGACTTACAGAAAAATAATATTATTCCCATTTTGTCAGTCGGTTTGCAGAAAGCCGGAGGAAGCTTCTGATGCTGATATTACAGAATTCACTTTCAAGCACGAAGGCAACCGTATTCGACATAGTAATCTACAACGTTCCAAAAGCTGACAAAAATTGACAAAGACAGCAAGTTAATTTCGTTGGAGGCCGTCTCGTATTTGATTACCGACGGGAAGGAAGCATTTAACTATAGCACGAGTTGGATACATCGCAGGAGTTCATGGCTAGTCCTAAAGCCGACAATACAGATGATGCTGCTCATTTACTTACTGCCAAAGAAATTTCTAGAGTCCAAGGACAACATTATGTTCATTATTCAGTAAAATG